AGTGATGGTAAAGTGCTCGTCAAATTATAGGTATGCACTCGGGAAACATTTACCGCACCGTTGGAGCATACTCGCCGGTACGGTGGTGCCCTATGCCGACGGTACCTGTTCGACACGAATTTTCAGGAGAATCCTTAGGTCTTCACCCAAGGGAAGGTCTGAGAGAGCGACGGAATGCAAGGAAGGCGGACCACTTTTGCCCCCGGTAATTTCATTATTCTGAGACGGCCCCTATATCGCAAACATCTCTCTCCTATATCCTACCTCAGTCCTGGAAATTCAAGTCAATTCGAGCTTTCCGACCAATGGTGTACGAAACGAACCACTTGAAACTCGGTAGAAAAAACACTTATCCTTCGCCTCTGCGAGCTTCGAGATCGACCCATTAATAATGCATGTTTTAAGTGCAACAGCATTAAGAGACCATTAGTACGCGCCAAATACGTGGGAAGATTTACATATAGTTATATCAAGTTTGATGAAGCGCGCGCGAAAGAAGTTCGGAGTTGAATCGGATTTCGCTAATCGCAACTCGCGACGGAAGTTTCACGTCTCTTATTATTAGAATCCTGGTTTCGTGAGAGGACAATTCTACGTTATTTCCTTTTTCTCTTTTAAAGCTGCTACACTGAGAGAAAATGTCGAAACAAACGTTATTTACGTTTTCTTCGATATTTATTAGTTGTGAAAATATTTATAAGGACAAAATATACATTTCTATGAAATATACAATAATACATCTGATTAATTATAAAAAAAATTAAGTACATGGCTTATTTGCTGGGAAGAAAATTTTATTCCGTCGTATTTAAATAAAGATTTATTTCAATGAAATAAGTATATTTCTCACAAATCAATTTTTAAGTATCTTTTTTTCAGTGTGTGTACTCCCTAAAATATTTAAAATGGAATATAACTCTAAAAAGTGAAATCTCTCTCTTAAAAATTGATAATTAAACCACTCTTTTTCAACACTGGCTCTTTGTCATTCTTTAGAATTATATTCCACTCCCAAAAATTTCCAAGAGTATATAAATAAAAAGTAATAAAAAGATATGAAGGAAGATAATATCCTCATTTGTCATAAAACTGGGCGGAGGCATGGTGCACAAATTGACTCGCTTATCGCCGATACCGGGCCGGGCCAATTTTTGCTACCCCTGCAGATATCAGATTGTAATTCACACGCAACGTGAAATATTCAACATCCATCGTTCACATCGTATCTGGGCAAATTCAAATTCAAAGGTCCTCTAAGCTAGGGTTGCTGACTCTTTGCGGACGTGTAAGCGCGTCGACTGGTATGAATACTCGTCATGCTATCTCTAATACACGCGACGAGCATTCTGCAGGTTATTTTAGATGCACATTCGCCTTCGTACGCGTCGACTATTTAGATTTTACCTAGAATAGAAACGCGCTAGGGACAGACAGACAGACAGACCAGATAACTGGATTGAATTTGGCACACGGACCGGTCTAATTATTTATAAATAGGAGGACCCGTTACACGCGATACGATATGTATTGTTAATTATTATGAATAATATATAAATGAATGCTTCTTATAGCAAATCGAACTTCGGTGTGCTTGCTTCTTAATTTCAATCATCTCTATTGACAAAAATTAATTATATGCATAACGATTGAAATATTTTGTGTACAGGGTTTTTTTTGACACAGAAAATAAATTTTATAATTCCCTGACTTTTCCAGGTTTTCCAGATGAAAATGAAAAACTTTCCAATATAAAATATGTAAATTTTAACACATTTAAAGTCAAGAGTTGTAGGAAAGCTAGCCTATATTATTAAAAACAACGCAAAAAAGGCTTAGTGGTATATTAAAATTTTGGGTACAAATCCAAACCAACAAAAAATAAATTAGTATTGGAAAAAAGAATGCAGTTATGAAAAAGAGCGATCAAATAAAAATACTGAATAAAATATAAATTTTAATATTATTTTATTAAAATTATTTAAAGTATGCGCAAGTTTTGACCATATTTCATTATAAACGTCAGATATAATATTAAAAAATTATAACAATTATCTGGAATAGAAGCAATTTAAGGAAATTGTGAGCAAATTTCAAAATTCCAGACTTTTTTACATTTTTCCCTGACTTCCCGGTTTTCCAGGTCTGTGACAACCCTGCTCGTATATCCATAAAAAGATTTTTTATCAATTTAACGCAGTACTACATACTCAAAGAAAAACAAACAAGATGGTAGCAACTATACAAGTTTGATATGTAAAATATACCGTTATATAGTTGAATAAATAATTTTATAGTTGCAGATATAAAATAATTTATTTTACTATGTACATTAATTGTATATATTAATTGTATATATGAAACTTGTATAATTGTCACTCTTATTGTTAAAGTTATAATATTAATTTGTATCAAATTCGAATTATTTGTAATTTTTATAGGTCGCCAATGTTTATATTAAATATATTAATAATTTAACTGAAATATATATAATAGAATTGGACAATTCAATAAATGTATTAAATTTGACTCAAATTTAGTTTATTATTTACAAAGTGCATATGTGTTAATATGAACGTTGTTTACTTTGAAACCAAACACGTAAATGTATTGATTTATATTTTGACGCACGTACAATTGAAATTAACAAATGTTATTCAACTGAAGGAATTGGTTACCATTGCTTTTTTGATATCCGATGTTAATAATGCCACCCACCATGCTTTTCTCTGAGAGTGCAATGTAATTATTTATCAAATAAGGTATTCGAAACCTTCAGATACAATTTCAGCAAAACACACATCGCAATTAAATCAAGATTATTTATCATCATTTTACACTGTTAAATTCATCATATTAAATTCTACCCAACTTGAGTCATTTTAATTATTTCTATCGGTCGCCACTGCTTCTATTAAATATGCCGTTAATTTAACTAAAACGATGGAGTTAAACAATTTAATTCAAGAAATACATTAAATTTGACTCAAATTTACTTTATTATTTACTAAATGCATACGTATTAATATGAACGTTGTATATATGAACTTTGACTAAACATATAAATGTATTGAATTACATTTTAATGCACATAGAAATTAAAATTAACGAAATGTTATTTGACTGAAGGAATTGGATTACTATTGCTTTTTTTATATCTGCACTGTTAAATCTATAGTGTCAAATTTAATATAATTTAAGTCCCCATTGCTCCTATATTCAATATATCATTATTTTATACTAAATAAACAATGGATAAATTTGACACTATATAGGGTGCTTTCCATCAATAACGTTCATATTGCTTGCATGTATTATCTCATCCTTGTTTAATATTTGATGACAAGAAGGATCAAATAATACTCGCGAGTGTTGTCAACGTTAAGTGGAACGCACCCATAGTGTCAAGTTGACACTGTAGTGTCAAATCCGTTGTTTTAGTATAAAATAATGATATATTGAATAGAAGCAGTGGCGGCTTCATAAATTAGATTAAATTTGATCCTATAGATTTAACAGCGCGACAGTATTTATAATGCCACCATATTTTTCTCTGAATGTAATGTAATTATTTATCAAGGTATTCAAATATAAAACCTTGAACTAAAATTTCAGCGAAACACACACTGCAACTAAATCAAAATTATTTATCATTTCACATAGTTAAATTTACAATGTCAAATTTATACTCCCAACTTGAGTTATTTTTAATTATTTCTATACATCTCACTAATATGTCATTAATTTAACTAAAATAGAGTTAAACAATCTAACTCAAGAAAATGTACATAATAAAGAATGGCTTAAATAATTCAAATAAAAGAAAAATAAACTAAGAAGAGCTACGAGCCAAAACAAACAAATTTTAACGTGCATGTAATACAGTTGACACTAAATAACATGAAAGTAAAAACAAGATAAAAATATGTCTACAAAAAACTAACGTTCAAGAAAATGTATCAAATTTCACTCAAAAATTTAATTTATTACTTATTAAATAAGTGCGTATGTTAATATAGACGTTACTCACTTTAAAAACTAATCACAGAAATTGATTAATATCAGTTTCAACACACAAGAAGTTAAATGTTATTTAGTTCAAGGAATTGAGTGAAATAACATTTCCATCGCTCCTTTGATATCTAGCAGTGTATGATTCTTACTTTGAATAAAAAGATCTAATGCTTCGATTGCAACACAGCGTGATTCACAGCATGATTTGAAGAAGTAAGAACGCGGCACATCATCTTGCTGCTCACGTCACCCATGCATAACACTCGATGCAATCGTCTACAACCCGTTCTCTATCAACTATCATAGCCCCTAAACTAAACGATCTATTCCAATCTATATCTCATTTGCGGCATCATCGGATATAAATAAATGCCCCAAATATTACCATTGACGAATGAGCAATCGCTCAAAGTATCGCTCGTAGATGATTTCCGCGAAAGAAGAGAATACGGTTCCAGTTCCGCGAAACAACGTTGCAACTTTTCAATCACGACCACTTCGTCGATTCATTCTCAATGAATGATGCTTTCGGCCGAGGTGCAAGCGTCGAACAACTCGTACGGCGAAAATGAAAAGAGGCGAAATACGCTTTCTTCGAAATAACGAACTTTAAATCTCGGTGATTCAAAGTAAACTTAAAACTTCGCAGGTTGAATGAGAAGCACGATATATACGTCGTTTTTGAGTCCCGGAGTCTCCGTCTTCGGGACACAAAATCAATTTCCAACTTTTTCTAGCCCCGCTTAATTCAATTTTTGGCGACGCATCGAGTTCTCTCTCTCTCTCTCTCTCTCTCTCTCTCTCTCTCTCTCTCTCTCTCTCTCTCTCCCTCGATCCGTCGTTGTATACTTTCAAAATGAGATTTTTCGTTCTATGGGAAAGAACGTATGGAACGTCCCGTGGGAGAAAGTCAACAACAAAGTTTCCGAATGACGAAGTCACGGAACACCGGGAATACGAGAGAGAGAGAGAGAAGGATCGTGGCGTACCTTACGCGGCTCCGGTGCGTAGATTCCGGGTAAAGGCGTCAGCAGGTGTAGACCAGCGGGATTCGGGATACCGGAGGCCGGATGTCCCGGCGGAATTGGCAGCGGCACCAGCTTCAGGCCCCAGGGCAGATACCACGGTGCCGTGTGATGCATTCTGACTGCGTTCTGGCTTTCCCAACCGACGGACGCGTTGGATCGGGCGAGGATCACGCTCCAGGGTGTGCGATACGACGATGGGGGGGTTGGGAGCGAGAGACGCCGAACCGACGAGATCCGGATCCAACGCGAGAAAAAGCACACGTTACACGCGTATATACGAGCGTTTTTTTTTCCTCGAGACGTCAGAGGATGAGAGACGCAAGGGGAGAGACGATCACCTTGACATTTTTCGAGATGGCTGTGGAGTGCTCCGGCACGAGTGTCCTTTTCCTCTCTCGATTAGCGCCCGCTCCTCTCCCTCGCGGGAGACGGCTTTCCACGCGAACGGAAAGGCGCGTCACACAAGGCTCGAAGGATGCGAGAGACGATTACGCCGTCATCGCGATTACCGTCTCGTCATCGCGTGCTCGGGAAAAGTGCATCGGGAACAGCGCTGCGCGCGGATCACGTGTCGCACACTCTGCGTGCGTGAGTTTGATATACGCACACGTATGGAGAACGAGAGAGGGAACGCTCGCGAGGAGGTATCCCCTCGGACAACAAGGATCCGTTCGGTGCGAGCGCGCGGCGTCGACTGATCGAGCGCTACGACGCGAGCGGCGAGCACATGGCGTCGACTCCCACCATTCCCTCCGCCCCTCACTCGCTGCGCTGCCGGCCACCACAGACTGCACTGCCGGCCGCAAACGAGTTTACTTCGAATTATGCACAATGTAATTATCGACAAATACCTACATTACATTCTGTCATCTCAAATTTGTTCTTATCGCAACGTTGAAGTGAAAAATGTCTTAAAGAATTTCGAGTTATCGAGTGAGATTTCCTGCAGGGTCTTATTTTTTGTCATTGTCTCCATTATTTTTACAACGATTAAGAGCAGTTCTCTGTAAATTTGTGAAGGTCGATATTTCATCCATTTATGTCCATTTCTATCGTAATTTCTAAATGTAAATTAATTTTAATCTCAGTTTTTTTTATTCTTGAACCTTATATAGATGAAAATAAAAAGTGAGTTAAACAGAGATTAAAAAATTAATATATATTGTTAAAAATGAATATTAGTTGTAACTTTTGTCGTGATACTTTGAAATTTTTTAAGTAAATCTCACTCTTTTTCGAGATTCGCTCGATTTTTACTTTTTAGAGTGATTTTCCACTTCAAAGAATTTAAATGTAATATTATCGGTAAATATTTAAATTATATTCTAATCTCAAACTCTTATAAAAACCGTTAAAGTAAAAATTATTTCTACCAATGCAATGTAAATTAACTTTAATCTCAGCTTAATTTAATTTTTTTTAATTCTTGGAATTAGAAAAAAATAAAAAGTGACTTAAACCGAGATTGAAGTTAAATCTACATTGATAAAAATAAACATTAGTTCTAACTTTTGTCATGATACTCTCTAAAACTTTTAAAGTGAATCTCACTCTGAAGAAATCTCACTCTTAAAGATTCAAGATTGAATCACTCTTTTTCAAGATTGGCTTAATTTTTACTCCTAAAAGTGAGATTCCAAAGAATTTAAAGAATTAGTATCAAAATTTTATTGTACTGCACTAAAATTAAAAACACATTTTTTTAAATGTTTATACAAATTTATGTTTTTAACATATTTCACATGTCCCAAATGGTCCACAAATTTTTGTATTAGTCAAGACAAGATGAATATATTAAGAAATAACACAATTATTATGTAACAAATTAACGTAAAAACGTGGCAATGATACAATTTGTAAGCAATCCTAAATATTTATTTATCAAAATTAACATTTATAATATTTACAATAATAATTTTAAATTAACATATTTCAATAAATTTAATATTTATAACATTAAATTAAACACATGTTATTCATTTATATTAGAATTGATGTTTTGAAAAACATAATTTTTTAAATTGTCAATTCAATAGTGGCTCATAAATTAAAGTTAATAAAAAGAGCATTCTTTCAACAAGATGAATTCCATGTATAAGAGTCATTATAACGAATAGAAGTAATGTTTGATTGACAGCATACATAAGCGCAAATCGCAATTCGAACAAAAATTATCGCTAATTTAATTGATTTGATGGTTTATTGTAATAATATGACGAAGAATTATGGATGATCAATTGGTTTGGGGAATTTTCAACTTTGTGAATCTAATTGTACAATTCTTTTAATAATTTGACAGATAATAATTGTTTTGTAATCATATGACTGCGAACTTTAATATTGTATACTGAAGATGGTCTGATATAGACCGAAATATCTATTATTCGTATTTTTTGTAATGTAAGATTTTGAAATATATAATATTCGCAAAAAACATCTTGCGCGTGGCTGAATGCTCTTTTTATCAACTTTAAAATTTACATAATTTTTATATTATTTATTCATTTACTCATAAATTATGTTATTTTTACACTAAAAAATGTTGAATATCAATTTAACACAAAATATTCAAATACTATAATCACGTTAAATTAACACTAGGATATATTAAAAATTCAACACAAAATTTTAACAAGGGCTTGAGTGAAGCGTCTCTAACACAAATAAAAAATAATTTTTATTGTACAAGTCTTACGTAGACTTGTGCATCATAAAACACATCATTCTTATGTAACATTTCATTTTTATTATCGATAAATTTACACTGATATTTTTAACTCACGATAACAATTTAAAAAAGAAATATAAAATTTTACAGAACTGTGAGCACAGAATTAGAAACGCAAAACTTTTGATAGACAGAGGAATCATGCAGCCAGAGGAATATTCGGGACTAAACTCGGTAACTTTGTTCCAAGGAAATCTCATTTCTACGCTCGGAACCGATGGTGCACGGACGTCGCAGAATCGAGCTTTGATGTCAGAAAGCACGTTGCGACGAGCGTTGACTCGCTCACGAGAATTAAGGGATATATCCACCGAGTAACTTATGCTGAATCCGAATCATTCAGTTCGCTGGCTCCCTGATTTCGGAGTAAACCCGGTTGGCCCACTGAACAGAAGCGCTTGATGCATGTCTACGTCAGAGATATAACGGAGATTCAATTCACCAGTAATCTAGACGTGAACCACGAGAGAGAACCGATGTCAATGCAAACCGAAGATATAATGGAGAACGTGTAAAACCTCTACGTAATGATGATAAAAAAAGTTCATAAGATAAAACAGCTAATTTTAGCTGAAATAATTGAAGGTGCAAATAAGAAGTGTAAAGGAGCTACATGCGCAAATAACGAATAATTAATCACTGTCGTGATAATTAACGATAAAAGTAGGAAAATAGCAACCGGCGTGACAAAGTAATCACTCAATATGAGCTTCCCGGAGCAGCCAATGGTCGCTCTATGGTGAAGAGATAAAAAGAAAGTTTTCTATATTTTATGATAGAGTAAGAAGAGATAAAATTTTCACTTTACGGTTCAATCGTAGTTCAGCATAGAGCACTTTAATTAGAAAGTAAATTTACGGCACGCGCCATACCAGAGCCGATACTCTTGTCTGGAATGCACGGTAATTCGGAGGAATTATAATAGAGTATAGTTTAATTAGACTGTCCTGAAGTTGGATGTACCACCCGAGAACTGACCCCATCTAACTTCAGTCTCGGAGACGGCTCGTGTCCGTCGTAATGCGACCCCCGTCGCCTCGATTATATCACTTATTTATCGATATTACTTTGCAAATTATGTAAACTCCGGACAAGTTCTTAGTCAATGGTGATGCAAACAGACGCGACGGTAAACATACAACTTGTATCAATATCAAGGAAGAAGACATAATGCCGAGAGAGTCGGTGTATTCGAAGTGGAACTGGAGCGACCGATGTTTCGCGGCGTGCGCTGAGGTAGAAAGACAAATATCTTGCGTGTAAACACGTGATGTGTTTCCCTCCATTCACTTTCAAGCCGCAGAGTGACGTCGGCCATTTCATTTCCATGGCATTGAAATGTATATAGGGTACGCTCGAAAAGACGGGGAATCAATAACAAGAACGGAGCTTTTCTATTTACACGACGTACATAACCGTGTAATTCGCAAAAATCTCTTGTGACTGTCGTTTGTAAAAGAAAGATGATCGATGCACGCCTATCGACATATCTGTCGCTTCTCCCTCGTTCAGCTTTCGGTATCCTACATTCAAGCGAAGGTCCAAGCACTGTATCATGAAAGACGGATATATCGACTCGTAAAACAACGTTTATGTGTATATGAGCGATCAATTTCTTCAATTGCCTTCCTCGATACTGCTGCCGGCGAATAACTGTGCGCGCGAGATGCACTAGATGTAATGTGTCAAAGTAAATATTGACAAACGATTTGATGCACACGAGAGACTGGCCGGCTATTAATATTAATACGCTGATGACATTTCTTGCTAATAATGGTTTTATCACTTTCGGAAAGTTTCCTGACTCGTTGATTAACGATTCTGTTAATTGGATGTATTACACATTAGGATGTATTTGATATATTTTCAAAATGATAAAAAAGTTATGAAAAAATTAGATTATTTTAAATCGCTTTTTTAAGTAATACAAAAGTTCAGTGACGGTTTACCATCTGGATCAAAAGTTATTTCAAAATACGTAAAATTATTTTAATATGATGCTTTAATAGAAATGTATGGAAATGTATTATAAAATAACAATAAAAATCTTAATTTTTTCATACAAGTACTTTAAGTATTCGAGATGATTTATGTAAAGTCACATTACGATGCAAAGGATTAGTTGTTTCGTAAATAAACAAAATATTTATTTCTTCTAAATCTTTGTATAAAGTCTAATCTCTGAATCGCAATGAAACTTTACATAAATCATTTTGAATATTTAAAGTACTTATGCAAAAAAATTGAAATTTTTATTATTACTTTAACAATTTTAATTTATAAAAACAATGACAAATAAAGTAAATAAACACTAAAAACGTGTTGTTCAAGAAAAATTAATTGTTCAAAACACAACTTTTTTTATGTAGTTTATTTCAAAATAATTTATTTCAAAATAATTTATACTTTAAATAAACTGTATACATAATATATGTACACAATTTATTTAAAGTACAAATTATTAATACAATTGTAAAAATATAATACATTCTTAATATATCCTTATGAACACTTATAAGAATTAGAAGCGAGTACAAAAGAAATTCTCTACTGAGAAAAACTTATTATTCTAGCAAAATTGAAACCCGTTTCAATTATGATCAAGTCTCAAAGGTGCTTCGTCTAGCGATTCTACGAGGAGTTCCGACATTGTTATTCAGTTTAACGGAGCAGCAAAAAGGACGAGAAAAGCAACTGAAAACTTGGTGAGAGGAAGAATCCACGAACTGCTCGTGACATCGTATTAATCCAATCGAAGTTTTGCCTAGGAATCGAAAGAACACCATCGACGACAAAATTTGCAAACGAAACTTTTCCTATTCGTATTGCAATAAAATTTACATTTCTGCGCGCATTTCCGAATTGGTAAAATGGATCTCGAGAATATTAGCTGAGGCGACCGCAAGCGAATATTTTAGTTAT